GTATTATAAAAATTTAAATAGACTCAACAAAGTAGACCAGTGTTTTTGACAATCTGTCTCTAGGGTGCAAAACATCACCTAGTGACCTTTCTAGTACGGACTGAATTCCACCCACGCCTACATTTTACACATGAAATCAAAAACAACAAAAAATACCATTTTTAGATACACTGGTAATAAAACAATCAGATGGCACATTAATCACAGATTGGTATCAAAAACCAAGAAACATAGATCGCTACCTCCATCCACTTCACACAATAATAAATATGGCCAAAGGGTAACTTACAGAATGATTACCTTAAGCCATGAATCCTTCCACCACAAAAACATAAAGATATACAAACAGATCTCCATAACAATCTCTACCTTAAACACATAATTAACAGAATAATCAACAATTACAACTCAACACTAACACCATCCACTATTACTAATAATACTACATTAAGTCTATCGAATAAACAAACCAACATACATTTTCATACCATTTATCCAAGGCCTATCACGTAAATTAAACTCATTTCTTTTGTCCGATAACTTCAAAATAGCTCCCAAAAATTATAAACCAATTCAAACACTTTTTTCCAAAATTAAAGATCCCACACAATAACAAATAAATCTGACGTAATCTACAAGATCAACTGTTTAAACTGTCCAGCAACTTACATTGGTCTTACATCGCAATATCTGGAAAGGATAGTAAAGCAACATGTCTACTATTGCAAAAAACCTAAGCAAAATCCTACAGCACTCGCTACCCACCATTTTGAACACCAACATAATTTCGACTTCAAAAATCCAAAACACAGAACAATACAAATATAAACGTAATTTCTTAGAAATGGTTTATATCAACCGAGATAAACACAGCATCAATTACAGAACATATACATGTAAACTCAGTCGCAGCATCGCCAATATCATTAATCAAATTCAATACAGATAACATACCTACATCATCACATTACATTCCACACATCAAATATTTTTCACATAGTCTAATTTCCCAATAATTTAGCTTTCCTTTTCCTACTTTATCCCTTTATAATCCTGAAAGGATAATCTGACCGAACCATTACCAACACATTTTTTCCCATCGTCGGCTCTTTTCACCTCAAAGAAGCCGACGCCTTGTACAAAAATGTCTTTTTTTCTATACCGACTTCCTTCCCAACCCCTTCAAAATCCAACGTATATAAACACAAAATAGCAAAATCTCACTGACACTCTCGACACGACAGGCAAGAATGGCACAATTACACACAAGACAAACACTTTGAGTGTGTAGAAATACTTTGAATATATAAAAAATATATTTTGCATTGTATAAATTCACTTTTCCAAATCCAAAATGTAATTGTTATATGTAAACAATGTTTGTAAATCCCTGGCCCTGAAGATGATCTCAATAAAGATCGAAACGTTGGCAAGATAAAGAAAATGTTTTTCTGAAACCTACATCACACCAAACCGCATCTCACGATTTCTAAATAATAAAAAATACACAAGAACGTTAAAGAGGTTGGTATTATAAAAATTTAAATAGTCTCAATAAAGTAGACGAGTTTTTTAACAATCTGTCTCTAGGTTGCAAAAAATCACCTAGTGACCTTTCTAGTAGGGTCTGATACTCACTACCCATTAAGGACGATTTCAAAGTTGTTGGATGACAGTCGATTTGATTTTTTTTCTACGATAAAAAAAGATAGGCAGGAACGTTAGAGCGGTTGGTATTATAAAAATTTAAATAATCTCTCAATAATGTAGACCAGTTTTTTTTAACAATCTGTCTCTAGGGTGCAAAAAAAATCACCTAGTGACCTTTCTAGTACGNCTCTCGGGGTGCCGGTGTTTTTGAAAACAACAAGGAACGTCGGGTTCGAATGCAGGGCCGCTGGATTCGAACCCGGGACCTTTACCTTACAGTGATGAGCGCCGTGTCCACGCCTAAACCGTTGCGGCCACCGAAGCCCCGAAAACCAAAACCAACCCTAACCATAAACTCTAAAGCCTTTAAAGAATGCTTAAAACAAATCTGATTTTTTTTTCAAAAAGATTTTTCTTTCACCTATTTTACTGATCGCTTGGTCATAAATTATGTAATTATTAAGATTTTGTGAAGAAATGAAAAAGTAAAGTAGGCATTATTAAGAAAGAAACAAATTTCATGTTCTTATTATGAACCTCTCACAATCCCTGGATATTAATTTTTGGAGCGATAAAAAAAAATTAGAACTTTTTGCCAAATTTTGTCTTTCTTCGAATTGCCTCAGATTATTTTCAAAAATCACAAAAATGACGATAAACTAAAAAAAGTCTCCGCCAATTTACTTGAAACTTTATAAATATTTAGGACCTTTTAAACTCACATAATAAAATAACGATGGCTTTTGAAAAGAAATTACAACGGGAGATATAAAATAAAATGTTCGAAATATTTTTATCGATTTCATCCATATTTTTCTCAACTAAAGGCTTTAAAAGGTGTTTAAAACAAATCTGAATTTTTGTGTTTTACAAAAACATTTTTTGTTTTACCATTTACTGATCGCTTGGTGATAAATCATGTAACTAAATAAGATTTTGTGAAAAAGCGAAAATGTAAGGTAATATATGTTTTTATGAAAAAACATTCGTTTAGTGCACCTCCCAACACCCCGGATACTAATTTTCTGGGGCAAAAAAAAATTGAAATAATTTTTTCCAACAAATTTTGCTTCGGATTATTTTCTACAACCTAGAAAAGTCTCCAAAAATCCAGCTGAAACCGTGCAACCAAATAGGGCCTTATAACCTACATGTAATGAATTTGGCTTTCTTCAATAAATTAGAGATATAAAATAAAACGTTTGTGGTTATCCATATTTTTCTCACTTAAATTTGTACAAAATATAACAGGCGTTGATAACTGCTGGAAGCAGAACAATTCAGCTTTACAATAGTTATCATAATGTTGGATTTGAACAAATTCGAAGGAGTTTTGATTTTTTAAGCTTAACAAGGAAAATCTGCGAGAGAAAAATATGACCTAATCCAACCCAAAAATGTCTTTTCTTAAAAAGAATTTGGTTTATTGTAACTTTTGAACTATTAAAGTATGAAAAAAATGTATTATTCAATGGAGCCTTCGATAAGGTAGATTTTGATCAGAAAGTTTCTCTACACAGATTTGGAAAACAACACAATATTATAGTTAATATCCTTATTGACAAAGCAATCACAAATTATAAAATGTGGCAATTATGTATCGAATCCAATAAAAGTGACATTTGGTGTTCCTCAGGGAGGAGACTTATCCCCTGTTTTATTTACAATTTTTTTAAATTATCTCCCTCTTTACATTAAACATAGCAAAATTAAGTTGTTTGCTGACGATGTCAAGTTATATAACTCCGTGACCTTGGACTGTAACTTGCTCCAGAGACGAGACCGTTTGGCTTTATGGTGCCACCACAATAAAATGTACCGGAATGTACAGAAATGTAAAGTTATGACATACAGAAGAAATACAAATAATATTAACAAAGAAACCCACGCCTTCTACAAAAATGTCTTTTCTGTAAAGACATCCTTCCCCACCCCTTCAAAATCCAACGTATATAAACACAAAATAGCAAAATCTCACTGACACTCTCGACACGACACGCAAGAATTGCACAATTACACAAAAGACAAACACTTTGAGTGTGTAGAAATACTTTGAATATATAAAAAATATATTTTGCATTGTATAAATTCACTTTTCCACATCCAAAATGTAATTGTTATATGTAAACAATGTTTGTAAATCCCTGGCCCTGAAGATGATCTCAATAAAGATCGAAACGTTGGCAAGATAAAGAAAATGTTTTTCTGAAACCTACATCACACCAAACCGCATCTCACGATTTCTAAATAATAAAAAATACACAAGAACGTTAAAGAGGTTGGTATTATAAAAATTTAAATAGTCTCAATAAAGTAGACGAGTTTTTTAACAATCTGTCTCTAGGTTGCAAAAAATCACCTAGTGACCTTTCTAGTAGGGTCTGATACTCACTACCCATTAAGGACGATTTCAAAGTTGTTGGATGACAGTCGATTTGATTTTTTTTCTACGATAAAAAAAGATAGGCAGGAACGTTAGAGCGGTTGGTATTATAAAAATTTAAATAATCTCTCAATAATGTAGACCAGTTTTTTTTAACAATCTGTCTCTAGGGTGCAAAAAAATCACCTAGTGACCTTTCTAGTACGGACCGATACTCACTACCCATTAAGGACGATTTCAAGGTTGTTGGATGACAGTCGATTTGATTTTTTTTTCTAGGATAAAAAAAGATAGGCAGGAACGTTCCTTAGTGCGGTTGGTATTATAAAAATTCAAATAGTCTCTTAATAAAGTAGACCAGTTTTTTTAACAATCTGTCTCTGGGGTGCAAAAATCTAGAACAAACTAACACCATCGCGCTCGTCACAATAGCTTTTTTTATTGAAATCACAATAGCTCAAGTCGTAGAGCAACGGCGTATTTAGCCGAAGGTCGTGGGTTCGAATCCCGCTCGTGACACTAACTTTTTTATTTCAACCAATACCTTACATAAAGATTAATTAATTGAAATAAGTTATTTGTCCAATCGGACCACGAAATATAATGGATTTAATAATTTGTATATATAATTAATCTAATTATAACTGATATATACTGATATATACATGTCTATATATCAAATTAAAGCAAAAATTATAAAATAATTTTAGGAATAACTTCGCAATAAAAAGTAAACATGTAATTAGGGTGTAAACAATGTAATTTTTTGACCAATATTTCGTTGTTGTTTGTTGATCTTCACTTCTTTGCTTGTTATATTTGTCCAGTTTATATATACGTTATATTTAACCAGTATATTTTTTTTCATATATAAAATTTTGTGCCTAGTCAGAAATCCTTGACATATTTGAATCCCAGCTCCCGGTTTGAAAGAAGAGATAGTAAAGTGTAACTTATTTCAATACAGGCGATACGTCACCGAAGGCTATGAGATAGGCCGTGTATAAAGTCGGAACTGTTACGATCCGTCGCATTCGCGAACATGTACAGGACTTTGCTAGTCACCGTTTCCCTTTTGACGGCCCAGGAAGCTATCGCGATCTGTATCGGATACGCTGGAGCAGTGCGTGCCTTTTTTCCTCATAGCAGGGTATATTTTTGGCCTTTAATCCGGTCTTTTGTTGCAGTGTGAGGAAATGATGGCCATGTCGTGCTGTTTCTACCCGTTTGTCGGTTGCCTTCAGGACACGAGGAATTCGACATCGTGCATCTCGATACTCGACGCAGTCAACCTGTCTCCGGAATTTACGAGTTTAAACCCGTTCACCCCGGCGTTGCAAAATTTTGAAAATGCGTCTTATATGTTTTTAATGGAGTTTGCACCCCTCGTGAATCCATTCTTGAATCCGATCACGGATCCTTTGGTCCTTTTCGGTTGAATACTTCCTTCCTTTGGGAAAACTAATAATATTTATGTGTAAATAGTGTAAATAAACTTATTTTGGAGGATTCATTTCACATATTATTTTCCACCCTAAATCAAAAGGTTAAATTGTGATTCAACTTCATGTCTGATCGGTAATAAACCTGTAATTTTTTCGATGCCCTCATATATTTCGGAAGGGGTTGACAAAAGTATAAAAGCATACAAAAATAAGGATTACAAATTTTACGATTTTATAGCATATAAAATTATAAGGTGAACATAAGAAAACAAAAAAAGAGGTATTAACCAAAAATAATTACAAAAAATGAATACCTCAGTGATAAATTTGATCGTTAATAATTAATTCATTATTTTCGTGGTCCGCTTGACCAATTAATATATNAGAAGACAAATACTTTGAGCCCTGAAGATGATCTCAATAAAGATCGAAACGTTGGCACGATAAAGAAAATGTTTTTCTGAAACCTACATCACACCAGACTGAATCTAACGATTTCTGAATAATTATCAATTAACGGTCACTAATTACCACACACATCTTTCAATTAATTAATCTTTATGTAAGGTATTGGTTGAGATAAAAAAGCTAGTATCACAAGCGGGATTCCAACCCACGAAAAATGGCAAAAAAGAGGGAAAATTCGAAAGGTGTGTTGACATGGGAAGTTGGTGTCCGAATGGATCAAAGACAACTATTATTATTATTATTAACTAATTAATCTTTATGTAAGTATTGGTTGAAATAAAAGAGCTAGTGTCACAAGCGGGATTCGAACCCACGAAAAATGGCAAAAAGGAGGGGAAATTCGAGAGGTTAGGTTGAGATGGGAAGTTGATGTCCGAGTGGATCGAAGACAATTATTATTATTAACTAATTAATCTTTATGTAAGATATTGGTTGAAATGAAAAAATTAAGTGTCACGAGGTGGATTCGAACTCACGGCCTTCGGCTAAATACGCCGCTGCTCTACCACCTGAGCTATCGTGACCTCGATCCATTCGGACATCAACTCCCCATCTCAGGTGGTAGAGCAGCGGCGTATCTAGACGAAGGTCGTGGGTTCGAATCCCTCTTGTACCATAAACTTTTTTCATCTCAACTAAAAACCTTAATTAATTGTCATATATTAATTGGTCAAGCGGACCACGAAAATAATGAATTAATTATTAACGATCAAATTTATCACTGAGGTATTCATTTTTTGTAATTATTTTTGGTTAATACCTCTTTTTTTGTTTTCTTATGTTCACCTTGAGATGGTTATGGTGACTTCAATAAAAAAAGCTAGTGTCACGATATCTCAAGTGGTTCGAGCAGCGGCGTATTTAGCCGAAGGCCGTGAGTTCGAATCCTGCTCGTGACACTAGCTTGTTTATTTCAACCAATACCTTACATAAAGATTAATTAGTTAATAATTAAGCTTAATTGTCCTTCTTTGAAATTAATCAGCATAATTTATATTTGATTTTATTACAAGTGAGAAAATTTAGGATGAAATAAACAAAAAATATTCAAAAGTTTTATTATTTATCCTTTATACTGAGTTATATAAGAAGATAGTGCTTATGCCATTAAATATAGTTTATATGGTTGGACTTGCAAAAATATCCTATGAATCGGGGAAGTCTTTTTAATGTAATCATAATTTTTATGATTTTAAAAACAAAAAAGGTAACTGAATTTGGGAGGCGAAAAACTTAAGAGAATTTTTTTTTATTGACCCAAAAATTTGTATCTAGGGTTTTTCGTGCTGCACAAAACGACAAAAATTGTTGTCTTGTAAAAAAATTTTAACTTTTTCCTTATTTATCCACGATGATTTTATTGGTTTTTTAACGCCGAATACAAGGATGTATCAACGTTCAACCATTCGCAAGTTATTCATAAAAATATTATTTCCAAACATAGTTTTTCTTATGAGTCAAAATGCTTTTTGACTATGTAAATCCGCAGATCTACCCAAAAAACCACTAAAGAATTCATTTCGGCAGTTCTTCCTTCATGAAATGTATTCCATGTCGAATGGCGTCCTGTAGCTAATCGAACGATTAGATTTGGTCTTCAGTTTCTTACAATTTACGGCAAGACCTTTGTAAAATTCTTATTTTAGTGGAAACTCCAAATTTTTGACCAATTTCTCTCGTGCAGTGGCTACAGAATTAGCTGCAGAGCAGTTGTCCCTTCTTTTCTAACCAACTCTTCTTCAGGACATAATCTTATCTCATTTTAAGAAAACTATAAATTGTCTATTTCTACTGAAAATTCGAGCGATTTTTTGAAACTGTAAAATTTTTCTGGAGCAATAGGCTAATAGGCGATTTCTTAATCTCCGATAACACTTTCCAACGTCGCTTTGTATAACATAGAAGAAAAAATATAAAAATAAATTAAAATATTTTTGAATAATAATAAAACGTACAATTCAATGTTATCAGGAAGATAGGCACATCAACAAAAACAGGGCGGTATGTACTTTTCATCCGATATTCTGTCTAATCGGTAAATAAACATCCAGATTCTAGTCAATTTAAGGATTTGTAAATTTCCTTGTTTTTCCCAAGGTTTTTATTTGATTCGGATAAACTTTTATTCTTAAAAGGTATTAGATAAATATTGCAAAGAATTACTTGTGTGGACGGGTATACGTCACTCGGGAAATTCAATTGAAATAGAAAGTAAAATTGTAAATGTAATTTGTTTAAGAAAACTGGACACAACATTTTTAACCATCTTAATTTTTAATCATTTATGTTTTTGATAGAATATTGAAGTTTATAACAGATGAGAAGGGACCCGATATCGATACCAATAAATAAATAATATAAATTTAAAAAATTATTTTTCGTCTATTAAACAAATACGTAATAAGAAAACAATGTTAACTATTCAAAATTATAATTTTCGTTTTTTGACTTTTATTGATGTCTTTTGCCAGTGTAATACACAAAAAAAGAGCACGTAACAGAATTAAAATGAAAGAGAAACTTTTCGGATTTAGGTACAGGATTGTTCAATTCATTTTATTACCATTTCAACGGGGGAGGATTAAAAAGGAGGTTTAGGGATAAAAGACGCCCTTTCTACACAGGTAGAAAGGTTCAACGGGGTAGGTCACCCCCACCAAGTGCGAACTTTCCCTATTTAATGGATTCTCCGACTGCCCGAAAGTCATTTCGTTGCAAGCCTGCCAACATGAACAACCAACTTCTCAAACTGCATATCAAAGCCCTCCTCGAAGCTGCGAGGAATGTGAGAAAGGAAGAGCAGTCGAAGAAGAAAGGTGGTTATAACCCGGCGGCTGAGTTCTTGAAACGTCAGGGCCTGTTTGTGATCGGGAGACACAGGAGGAGCGATTTCATCCCAGAAATCGTTTCCTCTACGCCGAGAGCAGGGAGAAGAAGAGGTAAGTTAAATATTTATCATATCCTTTTGGCTGAATAAACTAATTGAACCCAAAAACTTACTTAAATACAGTTACAACAGCTCAATTGTACAAAAGAATATCTTCTAATTATTTGAACTTTTAATATAAAGATTAGACGTTCAAATTCAAGATATATGATTACATAAAATGAAAATTGATAATTTGAAGCATGTTAGTGACTAATTTTTAATTTTTTTCAGGACTAAATTGCCTTAACACCTGCACTTTGCCCCCGATACATCCAAGGGCCAAAACTAAAAAGGCTCCCGCCGGCAGTGCGTTTGTAACCACTTTGTAAACGCATTTAAAAGAAACGTAAGTCCCGTTGTAACTTTACAGTCTTATTTGAAAAGTTCCATCAAACTAGACAATTCTATAGTGCTTGGATTTTGTGTACATAACATTAACTTAAAAATCTGTTATTTTCAGGAGGTTGGAAAAGACTGGCGGACTTCGACTGCGAAATTGCCTTGACGATTTATGTTAAATAAATGATTTTATTTACGAAAACTTAATATGCCTAATTTTTTATTTACCTACTTTTATGTTGAAACAATTTTGAATTATAAACAACTATATTGTCGTATATTGAGATATATAAATATATTGTTGAAAAAAATACATCTATATTTCTAGGCCATTTTTCACTTATTTTATTGATAGGAACTAAATATTCAGCTTCGCTAAAACCTTGGGTTTCTCATGATACGCGACTTTTTGAGGATTCTGATTTGTCAAACTCTTTGTAAAAAAGAATATAATTAGAGAAAAGCCTGTATTTCCAAAAAGAAAAGAAAATCCAATCGTTAATTATATATTTGCTAAAATAGATTGATCAAGCTTTCCATAGATTTTGATACTTTTTTTTATTACCTTCAAAATTTGTATTTAAGGGCTTAAGGTAACAAATCTGAATTTTTATTTTTTTTACGAAAACACTTTTTCTTTTACTATTTGCTGATCGCTTGGTCATAAATTATGTAATTGTTATGATTTTATGAAAAAGAGACAAGTAGGTAAATATATTTTTTTAAGAAAGCAACAAAATCGATATTCTTTTTGCGATCCTCTCAAAATCCTTGGAGACTAATTTTTTGTGGCAATCAAAATATAATAAAATAATTTGTTTCTTAAAAATTCTTTTTGCCTCAGATTATTTTCAAAAATCACAAAAATGGCGATAAACTAGAAAAGACTCCACCAATCTACGTGAAATTGTAAAAATATTTAGGTATTTTGAATCTACGTAATGACTAAACTTTCGGTTTTGTAAGAAATTTAAACCGAAGATATAAAATAAAATGTTTAAGGTTTTTTATTGATTTCATTCATATTTGTCTCAACTTTAAAGACGTTAAAGGAGGCTTAAAACAAATCTGATTTTTTTTAAAGATTTTTCTTTTATCCGTTTCACTGATCGCTTAGTCATAAATTATATAATTGTTACGATTTTAAGAAAAAGAGACAAGTAGGTAAATATATTTTTTTAAGAAAGCAACAAAATCGATATTCTTTTTGTGATCCTCTCAAAATCCCAGGAGACTAATTTTTTTGTGGCAATCAAAATATAATTAAAATAATTTTTTTCTTAAAAATCTTTTTTTAATTGCCTCAGATTATTTTCAAAAATCACAAAAATGCCGATAAACTAGAAAAGATTCCACCATTTGTAAAAATATTTATATATTTTGAATCCACGTAATGACATAACTTTCGCTTTTGTAATAAATTAGAACCGGAGATATAAAATAAAAGGTTTAAAGTTTTTCTTTATTGATTTTTTTCAACTCTAAAGAATTTTTTTATATGGGTTCGCAATAGCAGAGGTCATCAACCCGAGGGTGCCGGTGTTTTTGAAAAAATGCCCATTTGTAACACGATTTCTGAATAATAATATTAACTATACCGATCAGATTGAAGGTGTTACGCTAGAAAGAGTGGAAGAAATTTGAGATTTAGGTATTACATTTGATAGAAAGCTTTTAATGTACACATTGGTAAATTGAGAGCTGATAGTATTAAACTCTTGAGTTTTATCATGAGATTATCAGCTGACTTCAATCATAAAAATGTATTAAAGCTTTTATATTGCACTTTTATTCGCACAAACCCCATGAATATGATCATGTAAGGTCCCAAATAGGTCTAATCAGTCTAAGAAACAGACGAGAACTACTTGACATGGGATTTCTTTAGAAGCTACTAAATGGGACAATAAATAGTGATGAACAGCCATGATAAAATTCAATATGCCTATTTTGAATTCGAGAAATTATAATGTATTCTATTACCAAATGCATTTTGCAAACTACTTGTTAATGAGTCATATTAATCGGCTCAAATGCAAAAAGTTCAATGTGGATTGGTTCCATGGCAGTTTTTATCAAGTCAAAAAAACTATATTGCATAAATTATCATTGTAAATCATTGTAGATGTTTTAATGGGCATTGACCCGTGTATAAATAAATGCGACGATCAAGTCATAACCATGCTCATAGTTCATCTCAAATCGTTTATTGTCCTGAGACTGTCAGATTGAGGAATGACCCATACGGGCCACTGCTATGACCACAACCTTCCTTTTATAGCAAGTAGATTTGTTTTGAGAGCTGGATTAGTGTGAATTTCAGACTTGGTCGCATCGAAATCCAAACTACGGTAATCCTCCAAGACCTAGTCAACACGTAGAAAACTTTCATGTCAACATCTCAAATCAAAAACAAACAGAAGATAAAACCCTCATCGCCCAGGACAAAAACATAACAAATCCTGCATCTACAGAAACATTTTGCTCGGTGTTTATCGCAAATAACTCAAACACATCAGATAAAGATCAAAGTGCATAAAAATACCTGTAACTCTCCAAAAACCGATTTATTTAAACCTTTTAGCATTTTGCTGTTAATTTCAATTAATTTTTTTATCGCAGATAAATAAATAATTGATAAAATTGTAAAATTTGCCCGTTTTGATTTTTTTTTCAAAGAATTCCATGTTCTAACGGGTTTGTATAATACATATCGTATGCTTTTTTCACATAAAACATACGATCCAAAAGAGACATTTACGATAAATATAAAACCCAAATCTTCCTTGGTTAGATTCGGCTTATTATTTTTTAGGTGTAGAAAAAAACGGTTTTTTTTATTTTATTATTCGGTATTATTTTAGCTCCTTCCTCGAACCGAGGAACTTCTACAGTAATTTTATTTCTTATAATATTGTTACATTTTTATTTTTCAATGTAGAAAAAAACGCTTTTTTAATTTTATTATTTTAGCAACTTCCTCAGACCGAGGTACTTCTACAGTAATTTTATTTCTTATAATATTGTTATATTTTCATTTTTAAATGTAGAAAAAACGCTTTTTGTTTATTTTATTATTCGGTATTATTTTAGCACCTTCCTCAAACCGAAATACTTCTTCAATAATTTTGTTCCTTATAATATTGTTACATTTTTATTTTTCAATGTAGAAAAAAACGCTTTTTTTAATTTTATTATTTTGTATTATTTTAGCAACTTCCTCAGACCGAGGTACTTCTACAGTAAATTTATTTCTTATAATATTGGTACTATTTTCATTTTTCAATGTAGAAAAAAAGGCTTTTTTAATTTTATTATTTTGTATTATTTTAGCAACTTCCTCAGACCGAGGTACTTCTACAGTAATTTTATTTCTTATAAAATACTAATTGTTAAATTGTTACTATTTTCATTTTTCAATTTAGAAAAAAACGCTTTTTTAATTTTATTATTCTGTATTATTTTAGCACCTTCCTCAAACCGAGGTACTTCTACAGTAATTTTATTCCTTATAATATTGTTATATTTTCATTTTTCAATTACATATTACTTCTTCAGTGTGTTCTTCTCACTTATTCAGTGTGTTATTTAGTTGTCATATATGACAATTTTAAACCAATTATTTATTTAACCATTTTAAAACGTTCTTTATTAAAAAATAGATCATTTTTACCTAATCTTACATTTATTTTTTAAAGTTTTGTCGTTTTTAAAAGTAGATTGCACTAAAAATATAGTAAAAACTTTGTAAATAATCAAACATTTCTAAAAACGAATCATAATTTTTTTCGTGAAACCAATTTCAAATTTTTTCGCGGCACCTCTAATGTCCCATAAATATAAATTTTTGTTTGAATTTAAATTTATTGATTTTTTGACCCAAAAATTTTCCAACTTTTAAGAAATAGTTATCGGAATATCCGAATAAGAAGGCTTTAATTTTAACGTCAATCGTGCCGTTAGAAAGAAGAACGTAGCCTTTTTACGGATGTAAAAATACATAAAATCCGTAAAAAAAATTTACAAAATAAGAAAATTATTTGTCAGAAATTAACCGAGGTTTTTTAAAATTTAAATAAGAGTCCTATTTTAATGTTTGATACAGTTAAAAAATGCACAGACAATTTCTTCAAAACGAATTGTCAACCGGGCAAAAGGTCTCCTAGGTTTAGAGAAATATGATGAAGTTATCGGTCAAAAAAATAAATTTGGGGTTAAAATTCTTTTAGCCATTTTTGAATTATAGCCGTTTCAATAAGATTACAATTCCTCTAACAACATCTCAACATTCGGAAAAAAGTCGATAAATTTAAATTCTTATAAAAATTTATATTTTGGTGTCTTTATAGGTGCTAAAACAAAATTTCATATTAATTGCACGAAAAAAATATGGTCTTGTTTACTTGATATTTTGTTTTTACAGATTTTCTGGTTATTGATAAACTATGATAGCTTTTACTACATTTTTATTGCAATCTACAACAAAAAATGATTTAAAATAATACTCTTATATAGTTGATTTGAGCAAGTATAAGGACGGAATAAAAACGGAATATTTCAACTTTCAAATTTTTTTTCATTTAATTAAGGTTTTTAGTTGAGATAAAAAACTAGGTGTCACGAGCGGGATTCGAACCCACGACCTTCAGCTAAATACTCCGCTGCTCTAACCACTTGAGCTATCGTGATTTCGATCTTCTCGGATTGACTCCCCTTCGCAACCCCACCTTTGAATTTTCCCTCCTTTTTGCCATTTTTCAAATGTCGTGTAATCTATTTGATTCTCGGCGACAAATGAAATGGTCAGGGGAGAGCTTTAGTGAAGTATACTTCATTTTAACTTATTAAATTCACTAGGTTTCGTGGGGTTAGTTAGTGCCCGATTGGATCAAAGTCAAGATAGCTCAAGTGGTAGAGTAGCCGCGTATCTAGCCGAAGGTGGGTTCGGATCCCGCTCGTGACACCTAGTTTTTTATCTCAACTAAAAACCTTAATTAATTGAAAGATATTAATTGGTCAAGCGGACCACGAAAACTAGTGAATTTCAAAATTTTGTTTGACTAAACCAGGGCCTATTCACACCTGTCCGATATTTTGGAGTGTAGAATCATCAAAAAATGTTTTGGTCCAAATCTATGACACACCAATCAGGTCGCCCGTTAGTAAGTT